AATTTTGGGAATTTTTCTTTTTTTTTTTTTTTTGGAATAGAATATCAATTTTAACTTTATTATAAATAAAATATTCGACTTTTATCTTAGCACATTTTGGAAAAAATACATGTATGAATAGTAATATTTTGAAGGACGTGTGGTTAAAAAGTAAGGAATTTTTTTGTTTTGCATATAATATTATTTTATTAAAAAATGTGTAGTTAAAAATAAGAAAAGAAAAATATGTATTTTTTGAAGAGTGGATCCCAAACAAGGGCTTAATGTAATACGTGTCTACTTATTAGCTCGTCGGCAACATTTCTACACGTGATATAATATATATAAAATATTCTTGAATAGTGTCCTTTTCTCGCCAACTTAAAAATGTTCCCTCAGATTTGTAAGGGAAAATTGCAGCCGCATCCCTCATCTTTTTTATTTTTGTAAATCTTATCCTAACATTCAATTTGTATCAACGAAGGTCCTCAATCTTTCATAAATATGTACATGGAGTCCATCTGGATGGAAACCCTCCATGAAACAGTGAGTTGATAAAGAAAAGTAGACTTAAGTACTTCACCAAATTGAAAGAGATGACTTTGTATATTTATAACCATTGACAATAAAAATAATAAAATTAAAGAAAAGAAGAAGACATTCACCCCAACACCTTCACCCCATCCACCATCTATCTTCTCCTTCTCCAACTAACAATGTTGATTTTCATCCATGGTCAACCGTCGACATCTACCAACACGTCGCAGCACCACCCACGACCACGACTACGGCCACCACCCTCAAACCCCACACCACATCCCATTTCAAACCACCCCAACCAAAAATCATTTCAAGGTTGGTAAAACACTCCACCCACCTATATATTCATTCAACAACCTTCAAATTTCCACACCTTCCCAATTAGTCTGCAACACAAAATCATATTTCGAAACCCAAGTTCGGTTTTTTTTTAAATTTCTCTCGCGAATCTAAATTTTTGGGCTTTAAGAGGGGAGAAAATTTTGGAGAACATGAAGGGAAAGCAAGAATGGTTGAAATCTGTTTTTGATTTCAATTTCAAATTTCATTATCTTTTCCAGATTTTTTCTATTCGGGAAATTCATGGGTGGACTTGCCTCCATGATTTTTTTTGCCTTGCTTTTTGTAATTGGAAAAGATTAAGATCAGGAGTGGGTGGGATGGGGGTGTTGGGGGTAAATTTCTTTTTTCTTTTTCTTTAGTTTTATTATTTTAATTGTCAATATTTATAAATATACAAAGTCACAATTTTACTCCTTTCAATTTGGTCAAAATTGATCAAAGTTCACTTTTGTTGGTCAACTGACGGTTTCCATCCAGATGGACTCCAGGAGCATATTTATGAAAGGTTAGGGACGTTCGTTGGCATAAATTGAAAATTATGGTAAAGTCTACAAAAATTAAAAAGATCAGGAACCGTTACTGCAATTTTCCCTATTTATTATATTGAACCAATCTTTTGACAAAGAGTGTAAAAGAAAAATAAACAATAAACCACCACCCCTAGGTTGTGAATTTTTTCTTTTATTTTTATTTTGTAAGGACAAATGTTAGTACAAAGGAGAGCTTTGAGTACAAAGTTAAGGTAAAGAATAATGCTATTTATCATTATAATGATGGAATATCGATAATGTTATAATTTGTGTAGAAGAATAAGATTGGGGGTTCAATTCTTATGAGTGGGAGGAGAAGGAGAGAGAAAGAAATGTAAGGGATAATAAATTACCACATCACCAACATTCTATTATTACGATGATAAATAACATTACTCGTAAAGGTAAAAGCAAAATAATGTTACACAGACTAAATGAGGAAATAGTTCGAATCTTGAAATGTTTGTTTTTATAAATTAAGTGTAAGAAAATATTGATATATCTTATATATAAATTTAATAATTATTTTATTTTAATCCAATTCCTAACATATATTTTTGGTATTTTTACTTCGATGACTCAATGTACATGGACTACATGAAAAAGGAATAACGAGTTCAAAATTTACTCAAAACTCTATGAAAAATATGAATGATTAGGCTATAATCCATAAAGAGCCTGATATTTATATTTATAGACTCGAAATTTATAAAAATATATTAAATTTTAATGAAATCTTTTAAAACTCGATGATACTTTTAAATTATATAATTTATTAAAATTTATCAAAATGATATATGTTATGCTCTAAAATAACGTGTCAAAATGAAGACTTGTCATTCCCTTCACTTTATGCCAATGCAATATGTCTCAACTTACCAACTCAAACGAGTTGACAAGTTATCGCTTTCGTATATGATGGAAAGTGATTAAATTAAAATTTAAGTCCATATTCAGTAACGATTAAAATTAAAATTAAAATCAACAATTAATTTTAACCACATTTTCATGAGTCTCACAACTTTTTAATAACACATTTCATCAGTTTTTTATCAAAATCTGCTAAAAAAATGATTTTAATCCCCACCAAACAAGAATTAAATACTTACAAGTTATGAATTTTATAAAATGTATAGATAATAATTGTGAATCCATGTTCGACGATCGAGCACACGTCTTGTCACAAAGAACCAAACATAATTCACCAACTTCGTACAATTATTATCAAATGCATTTATATATCTGAAAAAGAAAAAAAAAAAAGAAGAAGAAGAAAAAGGGAAAGCCAAACCCTGTGGGCAGTGGGCCCATAACTAATGGTTTCGATTCGCTTAAACGTTTTTGTTTGGTAAAATAATTAATTATCTATAAGTTTCTATATATTCTCCTCCTCTGAGTCTGACGCCATTTCTACCTCCTATAGGTACAGAGAGTGAAGCAGGGAGGAGACACGAAAAGACTGATAAATCACTGCCATTTTTTATCTCTTGTAATTTTGTGCAATAATCATACTCGATTTTTCGTTGCGCTGATTTACCTCCAATTTTTTAAAGAAATTTTCAGGTACGATTATAATTTCTGTATATTGTTATATATTTTTTCTTTATCTGCATGCATTTTTATGTAATCTTTGTGTGTTTTACTGTTTTTAGTTTTAATTTTTTGTTTATTTTCTGTTCTTTTGTGGCGAAGAGAAGTAAAGATATTGAAGAACTTGGAATATTTGTATTCGAAAATTGGAAAATTTCCCCATTTTGTTAAACCCTATTATCCTGTTTAGCGGGGAGGAAGTATTAATGCTAAATATTATGCGACTTATTAATTTGTGATTTATATCGCTATATGTAAAGTATAATTCAACCGAATCATGGAAATATTCATATTTGATTTTATTTTTCTTGGAGTTATTCAAATTTATCATAGTTTTAATTGTACTTTTATTTTGTTTCCTTTTCATGAATTTTTTCCTTTTCATGAATTGTTTCCTTTTCATGAATTTTTTCCATATTTAATTGGAATCAAGAAAAATATTTTTTCCCACATTCTAGAATAAAGATCTTCTTTCTGTATTAATGAATATTTTTTATGTAGGACTTTTAGTTGGCGTGAAGACAACGTAGCCTTTGAATTTAAACATTAAAAAATTCTCAATTTGTTGAGATTGATTGTACTTCTCTTTTGAACAATAAAGCTTGAGGATTCTGGTGCTATTATTGGCTAATATCTTATTGTCTGTACCTCAACTAGATTTTGAAATTATTTCCTCTCTTTTCAGTTAGATGCCTTTAAAATTCCTTCTCTTTCTTTGATTATTATCTTTATTATCATTATAGGTGCCCACAGTTAATTAGCCAAAAACCTTTCTTCTGCATTCAACTCGGTTTAACTTATGTACTTGTAAAACTTTGTTTTGGATTAACTTGTGTATTGTAAAACTTTCTTTGATTATTATCTTTATTATCGTTTTAGGTGCCCACTATAATATTAGCCAAGAACCTTTCTTATGCATGCAACTTGGTTTATCTCATGTACTTGTAAAAATTTGTTTTGGATACTCTCGGCATATTTTAGTAATGAAGAATGTCAAGATGATATAAAATTTCTTCCATTATTGCCGTTGCTTTTTCTATTTGTGGAATTTTAGGATTTGTTTCATTAATTATCCTGAATGGTGTTTTGTTAATTTTGATGTTGTTTACGTATTGATCTCTTTTTGGGGTATATTTTTTGTGATCAGAGACTGGATCTAGAGGAGAAAATTATATTATATGGAGGGCGGCGCAGAAGGAGGCTTGGAATGTCAGAGGGCTATGGATGGGAGGGAGAGTGACACCAATTGTTCGAACAAGGCCATGGTTATCCCCTCTTGTTGTTTGAAAGCTAAGGTGTCAGACCCTGAGCTTGAAGCCAGATGCCATTCCACGGTTGTTTCCGGATGGTTCTCTGAACTTCAGTCATCCTCTGGTATTATCATATATTTATTTTTGTTTGTAGAACTCCTTGATTTTATATGTTCTATCCTACCATCTATGTTTTAGTCATTTTGCTGAATTCTTTTCCTGCAGGTAAAGCTCAGAAAGAATTGTATTTCAACAACCCAATGTGGCCAGGTGTGTTTTCCTTTATTCTTTCTTACCATTCAGCCAAGGGTTATACTTAAAATTATTATCTTGCATTGCTTTATCCAATCAGCACCTTAAACTTTTTTATCTCAACTCTGTCTAATATATTAGCACGCTCAACCTTTCTTTTCCTGCTTATCTCCATTTGACTAAATCCTTTATCAAGGGATAAGATGTGTTGGTGTTATTTTTTTTATTTTTTTTTTCTCAAATAATTGGGAGGCATGTCTACATCTTCTGCTGTTATTCTGCGAATCGGTCAAGTTGATTTACTTCTCTAGTTTAATTTTAGATGATGATGCTACTTCGTTCCTAGTATGTTCAGAAGTAATGAAAGACTATTTGACTTTAATGTATAGTCTTGTTAAGTAGATTTTGAGAAATGTTAATGACGCTACTCATGAAGGAATTGGATGCAAGAACCTCCGGAAAATTGTTGGAGTAATTCCAGTGGAAATATTTAACCGCAAATCTTAATAATGTGTGTTGTTCAGATGCCATAATTCCTACATTAGTGATTGTAAATTAGTTATGATGCCCTTTGAGAGGAAAAAGATTTGTTCATAGTTTCTTGAGAACTTGAGGTTAGGTCTTGATTAGAGGGAGGAGGAATATGAATCCTGCTCCTTCGTAAACCTTAAGATTTTATGTTCTTGTTTATACTTTTTACTATGCAGCTATGAGCTATCTTTAGTTAACCCTAGTGTTTCTGCTTATAGGAGAAGCACACTCCCTGAAAGTAGAAAAGATTCTGTTTAAGGAAAAGTCAGAGTACCAGGAGGTTATGGTTTTCGAGGTTGTGCATCCGCTACTGTAAATTTTAATACTACATTTGTGCTTCTGTGGTTCCTTGTCATTTCAAGTCTTGACACGTGCATTTATACATTGTGTTTTCTTACCCTCGCAGTCCTTGGCATATGGAAAAGTGCTTGTTCTAGATGGCATTGTTCAGTTGACTGAGACAGATGAATGCGCGTATCAGGAAATGATAACCCATCTCCCCCTTTGTTCCATTGAAGCCCCGAAAAACGTAAATTCTGATTTCTGTTTATTGCGACAAATGTATTTTTATGGAGTTCCTATTATTCTCATTTTTCACTTGCTTTAGGCGACAGTGGAACAACTGTTGGTCTCTTATATTTTTCCACATAGGTTGGATTCTTGGTCATTATACTGAATTAATATTATTTCAGCCTATTACAATTTATAACCACGTTCAGAGAAAGTATGTGAATATTTTGTTCTTTGCTTTAATTTTTTTCTGGGTCGATATATTAGTAAATAATTTTCTACCTTTGGCTCTTCAATCATTTCTGAAGATACTGGGATGTTACATCAGTCTGCTATGAAAATGCTCAATTTCATTCTTTTGTAGTAGATTGCTCAGTTCTTCTGCTATTTCGTGAAACATATCCATCTTATTTGTAGCAAATAGATTGTTCAAGCTCGAAGTTATGTTCCTTGGGGGAAAAAGATGATACTAAGGAAAGGATTCCTGTTTCTTAGATGCATTTTTCCCCGTCTATGTAGTACACTTGGGGAGGATCTCTGAGTGCATTCTAGTTATACTGTTTGAACTTTTTCTATGGCATATAATCATGAAACATTAGTATGCAGATGACCACAATGAAAATATAAATAAAAGATTTTGCATCACCTGCAGGAATACAGTGGTTTTTTTTGGTTATTTATAACTCACTCCATCTCTATACTTTGTTTTTGTTTTCCTTATTTATAATACACTTCATCTCTATGCCCCTTCCATGAGTTACAGGTTCTGGTTGTAGGTGGAGGTGACGGTGGAGTTCTTCGGGAAATTGCCCGTCACAGCTCTGTGGAGCTGATTGATATTTGTGAGATAGATAAAATGGTTATAGATGTGAGTGGTTGAAATTTGTGTTACAAGTATTAACAAATACTCTTTCCTTGTTACACTCTTGTGGTTTTCAATCCATTGTTTTCTGCATCGTAGGTTAGCAAGAAGTATTTTCCTGATCTAGCTATTGGCTTTGAGGACCCTCGTGTGGGACTACATGTTGGTGACGGTATGCCTAAACCCTTCAACTTAGCTCGTGTCATTATGAATTACAAAGGGTGATGGTAAGGTGTTCTGCAAATTTAATGGGGACCTGAAAGCAATAGGTTCATGGTATTCTGCAGTATAATAGAACGCGGAGGGAAGAGGCTGTCATGCTTTACAAAAAAGTGATCTTTATTTCCATTCATTCTCAAGTACTATTCTCGTGTTCTGATTATTCTCTTTCATGACTTTGATAGCTGTCGAATTTCTAAGGCATGCACCTGAAGGGAAGTACGATGCAATTATTGTTGATTCATCCGATCCTGTAGGTATGTATATGGGGCAGCGCAATATTTCTTGGCTTTTTTTTTGTTGTGGAAAAATTCCTTTTTTCTTTTTGGGCAGTACAAACATTTACCTTGCGCTCCCAATTGTTCACATACATCTAGATGGGTTTGAAATACCTTTAAATTCTCTAGAACATATTAATTTCTTTTTAGTATTATACTTAAAAAAATATTTGTCTTTGACAATATGCTTTTCCTTTATGTTCCCATTTGTACGTCTAAAGTCCATAATAATATCATGCTAATGTTGATTTGAATTTGTTTCTGTACAGGTCCTGCTCAGGAGCTTGTGGAGAAACCATTTTTTGAGACCCTTGCAAGAGCGTTAAGGCCAGGTGGTGTTCTATGTAATATGGCAGAGAGCATGTGGCTCCACACTCATCTGATTCAAGATATGATTTCGATTTGCCGTGAAACATTCAAGGGTTCTGTGCATTATGCATGGACTAGTGTTCCTACATATCCAAGGTATAACTTTTACAGACCGTATAAATAACTTTTCTAAGTTTTCTTAATGCAAATTACTTATATATTTTATTAAGGTATCCCTTTTTATGAAGTTATTTTGGGCATTCTTCATTAGTTTGACTATAAATTAATAGTTTATTTGCTGACATTTGATGTTTGCATATGCTTCTTACAACATACTATCATTTAATTGGTATCTTTGGCAACCGGCCATTACTATGTTCTCATGTAGTTTCTGTCTGATACCAACAGTGGCGTTATAGGATTTCTATTGTGCTCCACAGAGGGACCACCAGTTGATTTCAAGCACCCTATCAATCCAATTGAGAAGATTGAGGGTGCGCTTCAGCATATAAGGGAACTCAGGTTTTACAACTCTGAGGTATCTTCTCTTCTGTTTTGAATGTTGCCAGTGTGACCTTTAAATTTTGCTATTGTTCATGGTTTTCATTTAAAAGTCGTTGTTGAGGCTAATGACTAGACCAATAATAAAATGTTTATATATGAAATTGCCTACTTTTTCTCGATCTTTATGTTCAGTAGATATTGCGTAAGCAAGGCCTTTGTCGTGTAAGATCTCCATTAGTAATAGTGTAGTCACTTTTCTTAATCAGTACACAAGTGGTCTTTTTTATACGTATTGAAACCACTTGATCTAGCTTAGGCACAAAAAATGAGTAGTATGGAATATGTTTATCAACTTCTTGTTATGGGATTACAGGTTTCTCAAGCAATACACTGACAATTTGTGTGTGCTCCACAGATTCACAAAGCTGCCTTTTGCTTGCCATCTTTTGTCAAGAAGGAGGTGAAAGCTCTTCGCGAGTTCTCAGGTTCACAAGAAATCCATGTATGATGCTTGTTTTGTGGCATTCCTTATTCCTTTTTCTTGTATTCAGGAATTTATGCACACTTGTGTATTGGTAGTGAAGGTGCCAAAAGAGCGTAACGAATACAAGGATGTAATTGACTTTCTCATAAAACTCGTGATTGATGACTTAATAATTGTTGTGGTTAGGTGCTTTTACTATAAAAAAGATTTATCAGAGCAATTGTCCGATTGAAATGTTATTAATTTTCAAGTTCTGGCTTTTGGTTTCATCATGTAGTACTTTTTGTGTGAGGTTTTTTGCATCTCAATTGAGGTGGTTTTTTTTCAAGGTCACATTGGTACTTTTTAATGCAAAAATGTTGCTTTATTGTGTTTGAGGTGAATCTTCTACGTGAGAACATGTGCTCATGTTCTTTGAAGGGGAAGATAAGCAAAAATAATGAAATGAAGAACCCGTTTGACATGACTTTTAAAAAGTCGAAAGGAGTTTTTGTGACCCAAAAGTTGTTTTTGGACGTGTTACAAAAGTGCTTCCGATAGTTGGAAGAACCTTTAGAAGAAGTTGGTCCGTTGTGACTTCCTCTAAAATCTCTTCTGTAATATGAAGTGCTTTTCTTTCCAATTAAAATTTAGGGATAATTGTAGCAGCGGTCTCAAATTTATCACTTTTTTGCAACCTTAACTTTCACTTTGTGCCACCCACAGTCCCAAACCTTTCAAAAATTAGCATTTGTGGTCCAAATGGATGATTTTTGTTAGTTTGACCGTTCTAAACCATCGTTCATCAATTACCGCTAACTCAATGTATGAGAATCCAATTCATGTCCTTTAACTCAATTTAGGAACAATTCCAATGATTAAAATGATACCCTCAAATCTTCAAGCTCTAATCGTCGTCGTCTTCAATTTCATAGTACTTCCAGTTTTGGCAACGGCGGATCTTGATGGCGACGACGCCACCAGTATAGTGTTTACTACTTTGGGAAGATCAAGTTATGCCTTTGACATCTACTCCCTCCCAATATCTGGCCCAGCGAATGAACTCAAACTCAATGATGGAGAATCTGTTAATTTCAGTGGTCATTTTCCCTCTTTTTCATCATTCAACAGAATTAATCCTATTCTAGCCAAACATGCCCTTCCCTCTACGGCGCCATTACTACACCTCATTTACGTTACTGAACGTAATGGATTATCATATATTTACCTGGATACGGTTTTCTAGAGTACTTAATGAACAGTGGTTTAGAAGGAGGTTGGGGGGAGGGGGAAGGAGATGAACAGTGATTTTGTTTTCCTTGTTATTTAGTTTTTTTTTAATTTTAATTCGAAATTACTATTTTAGCCCATTTTTAAAATTTGTCAAAGTCAATTTATTGGGTCAATTAATAGTCAAACTAACAGAAATCATTCATTTGGACCTAATGTGCTAATTTTTGAAAGGTTTGGGACTCTGTGTGACACAAAGTGAAAGTTAAGGTAAAGTCTGCAAAAAAGTGATAGATTTGGGACAACTGCTGCAATTATCCCTAAAAATTAAAGTAACTTCCTTCAAAAACTTTTCTAAGAAACAAAATATGAAATATAAACATAGGGAAAATTGTAGCATTAATCCCCAACCTATTTAGTCAATAAATTGGGGATTGTGGTGCAAATGAAATGATTGAGGACTTAAAATCAAATTTTTAGTAAATTTTGATTTTGATAAAAGCTGATGAAATGTGTGAAAAGTGGCTTCGACTTGGATTAAAATATAAATTAAAATCACTACAATACATGAGATATATAATAATCACACAAACAAATAATTATAAAAAAAAGATAAATAATAAAATTAATAATTTTAAAATGGTGTAATAAAGCTAAGAGTGTAAGATGAACACATCGCAACTTTTTCACAGGCACCAGGATCCAGAAGCAGAATAGAATTATAGTTCGCCTCAATTAAACTCAATATTGCATATTTCAATATACATAAAAATATGGAACAAAAAAACTGTGACAATATTTTCGTTAAAAAAGGAACATGAATGAGCTTTTCATATTATATCAAAAGAAAATTTGATTTTAATATGATGTTGTGAATGAATAGAAAAGTCGAATCTTGTTATAATTTTTCTGCAAATAAGTAATAGGTTTTCTTTCTAGCATATGAAAAGAAGAATATTTTTAATTAATTTCTTGGGAATCAATAATATTAAATGATAATGAATATATGGTTAGAATTAGTAAAGTATTAAATCATGAAAAAAGTGATTTTCATATCAACTTCGACCAAATATTCGAACTTGATCCGATAGTTAAATTATGAAAATAAATATACTAACTTATTCTACTCGTTGAGTAAATCGTGGTGGTATATTTGGAATCTCCAAACATATTTCGGATGAATGAGAAATTGTGATCTAAAGTTTGAAGAAAAGAGAGAAAACTAGTTGGAAATTTGTTCAATTCCGTCGCTCGCTTAGTGCTCAAGTGAGGAGGCTGTTGTTGGAGCGACGCAAGGGCAACAACAAAAGTAGCGATCCTTGACAAATGTTGCTTAGTTTGGGGTGTGATACTTCACTCACAACATTTTCTCCTCTATAAATTAGACCTTCGGGACATCTCAATGACATGCAATCATATCATAACATTAAATTCATATTTTCTAGCCAAAATTCTACATAAAAAATTGTTTTTCCATTTTTCATAAGAAGGAGTACAAAAATCAATATTCGGTTTGTTGCTTTTGTATTTGGAAGTGCTACTAACACAAGAAGATTGTCATTGTATCTTGAGAGTCGATTGCCATTATCCGTGGGCACCATTGTGAGGCAAATTCAACTTCAGGACAAAGAGTCCAACTCTTACCTCGACTTTGCAAACATTTCTTTTGGTGTTGCTTTGACATTATTTTCATTTGATGTTTTTCAATCATATCCTTACTGTTACTCTATCCAATTTTTGATAAGGTTGGTAAATTGATTTTTTGGTTTAAAGTCATCATTTTTTTCAACAATCTTAAGTCTAATTTTCGTTTGAATAACAATTTTATTTTTGNCTTAAGTCAAATTTTCGTTTGAATAACAATTTTATTTTTGGATTGTATTCAGTTAAATTGATTTCACTTCAGTTTAACTTCTTTTACTCTTTCTCGAATCTTGATTTTGGTTTATCTTCTGTTTTGTGTGTAACAGAAATGAACACGGTTAACAATACTGATACCTCTTTGAATGATACTTCGAATATGAGAACGTCGGAACAAATTTTACCTAACTTGGTTTCTACCGTTGTGATTCATGTGATTACGGTTGCCCTCCCAACATTCATTACTAATTTCGTTCCACATGGAGAAAAACCATAGATGTTTAGTAAGGTTTATTTCAAGAGATGATAATAGAAAATGTTGTTCTATCTCACAACCCTAAACTTGGCAAAACTCTTAAAAGAAGAAGCTCCCGTCATACAAGAAGGGAAACATAATAGATCATCATTGATTGCATTGGATGCTAGGAAACATTTCCACTTCTTATACAAAAAACTATATTTTGAATGGGTTGGACAACACATTATATAATGTATATAGTTCCATGAAATCTGTAAAGAAATTATAGGAATCCTTGGAAAGGAAATACAAGACTGAAGACGTTGAAATTAAGAAGTTCATTGTGTGGAAATTCTTATTCTACAAAATGGTAGATTCAAAACTGACCATTAGTCAAGTTCAAGAATTACAGGTTATACTTCTTGACATTCACGCAGAGAATATTTCTCTAAGTGAATCATTTCAAGTAGTTGCAATTATCGAGAAACTTTCACCTATGTGGAAAGAATTCAAAAATTATCTCAAGCATAAGCGCAAAGAGATGAATATCGAAGAACTCATTATGCGGTTGAGAATTGTAGAAGATAATCGAAATTCGGACAATCATGTTGGAAGTCATATACCATAAGCTAAAACTAATGTGGTGGAATCCTATAACAAAAGCAAGAAAAGAAAGCATTCAATCGAACCATCCAAGAAGAATGCAAAGAAGTTCAAGGGCAATGCTATAATTGTGGAAATGCCGGACATCGCTCTGTTGATTGTCGTAAACCTAAAAAGCAAGCCCAAATGAATATCACCAACTCTGATGCAATATCTAATGATATATCAAATATAAACTTGTCGGCCATTATTTCAACATGCAATAATGTTGGAAACCCCGTAGAATGGTGGGTGGATATGGGTGCTACCTGTCATATTTGTACCGACAAAGGAATGTTTTCATCCTACACTTCGATTGATGGTGAGAAATTGTTCATGGGAAACTCTTCAAGTTCAAAGGTTGAAGGATAAGGAAAAGTTATTTTGAAAATGACAACGGGCGATGAACTTAGCCTTAATAATGTTCTTCGTGTGCCTAATATTCGCAAGAACTTAGTATTGGGTTCTTTGTTAAGTAAGAATGATTTTAAGTTAGTTTTTGTATCGGATAAGTTTATACTTACCAAGAATCATATGTATGTAGGCAAATGATATGAAAAAGATGAACTATTCAAGATGAATGTCCTTACCATTGAACTGAATAACTCAAGGAAAAATATATCTTCTTCTGCTTATGATCTTGAGTCATCTAATTTATGGTATCATAGGTTAGGACATGTAAACTTTAATTCTATATACAAATTAATGAATTTAAGTTTACTACTAAATATTCATTTTAATACAAATGGAAAATGCAAAATTTGTATAGAGCCTAAGTTAGTCAAAGTGTTGTTTCATTTAGTCGAATGTAGCACAACACCTTTGAAACCTATTCACACCGATATATGTGACTTAAAGTACGTCCAAACAAAATGTGGTAAAAAATAATTTTATCATGTACATAGATGATTGCACAAATTACTGTTATGTATACTTGTTGAAAAGTAAAGATGAAGTTTTAGAACTGTTTAAACACTATAAAACTGAAGTTGAAAATCAACTTGGAAAAAAGATAAAGGCGATTCGCGGTGATCTAGGTGGAGAATATGTTGCATCATTTGAAAAATTTTGTTCTGAATCTGGAATTATTCATCAAACAACAACGTCATACTCACCTTAATCTAATGGTGTTGCTGAATGCAAAAACTGAACACTTAAGGAAATAATGAATGCAATACCGATTAATTCAGGTTTACCTTAAACTTGTGGTGGGAAGTTGTACTTTCGGCAAATCATACCTTTAATAAAATACCACACAAGAGTAAGAATGAATCACCTTATTAGTTATGGAAATGTCGAAAATTTTCCTACAAATATCTTAAAATGTGGGGGTGTTTGGCAAATGTACAAACAAGTAAAGATTAGACATAAGACAATTGATTGTCTTTATCGGATATGCAAACAATTACTATCATTGAATCAAGGAATACTGTATTCTTTGAAGATATTTTTCCTTATAAAGAGAAAGAAGTAAGCTCACAAATGAACTTATGATACTGCAATTGGAAATTATCAAAAAGATAGTAATCATCAAGTAGATGAAGAACCAATGTGTAGTAAAAGACAAAGGATGATCTTTGGTCCAGATTTTCTAACGTATCTACTAGAAAATGATCTAATGACGTTTAACGAAGCAATATCCACTCCCAAAGTTCATTTTTGGAAAGAAGCGGTTAATAATGGAATCGAATCCATCAGGAATAATCATACTTGGGAATTTGTTGAACTTCCTCCGGGAAACAAAGAGTTGGCTGCATGTGGATTTTCTAGACTAGTAGCTAAATGATATAAACAAAATGAAGGACTAGATTTCTTCTATACCCATTCACTTGTTACAATGATCACATCTATAAGTGTATTGATTGCAATTGCTGTATTGTATAATCTTCAAATACATCAAATAGATGTTACGACTGCATTTCTGAATGGTGAATTAAAATAATAAATATATATGGAACAACATGAAGATTTTGTTGCTCCGAAAAATGAGAATAATGTGTGTAAGCTTGTAAAAATTGTTGTATAGATTAAAACAAGCACCGAAGTAAGGACATACAAAATTTGATAAAGTTATATTATCAAATGGTTTCAAAATTAATGAATATGCATTAAAATCACACCTAACCGATGCGTGATCGTATGTCTATATGTTGACGATATGTTAATTATGAGAAATAATTCGAACATTATTACCTCGACCAAGAAAATATTAATAAAATATTTTGACATAAAAAATATGAAAATAGTTGATGTGATATTAGAGATTAAAATCTCTAAAATATTTGACGGTTTGTTATTATTTCAATCACACTATATTGAGATTATACTTAAAAAGTTTAAAGTGTATGACGATAAACCAGTTAAAAAATACCAGTAGACTTAAGTTTACACTTAACAAAAAATATTGGTGATTATGTATCTCAATTAGAATATTCACGCGTTATAGGTAGCTTGATGTATATTACCAACTGCATTCGTCCTGATATAGCATATGAGTCACCAAATTGAGTACATTTACAAGTAATCATAGTAATGACCATTGGAAAACATTAACCCGAGTTCTTAAATACTTAAGAGACACGGTTAATTACGGATTCCACTACTCAAGATATCGTGCAGTGTTAGAAGGATATAACGATGCAAATTGAAAATCTGACGTAAAGGATTCAAAATCTACAAATAGTTATGTGTTTACCATTGGAGGCAAAGCTATGTCTTGAAAATCATCTAAACAAACTCGTATAGCTCGATCCATGATGAAATCTGAGTTTATTGTTTTAGATAAAACCTAAGAAGAAGTGGAATGACTTCATAATTTTCTCGAGCTATTCCATGTTGGAAAAAATTGGTACCAGCGATTAATATACATTGTGATAATCAATCGACAATTGCAATAGTATAATATAGTATGTATAATGGTAAATCTTGGCATATCGGAGACACAATACCATTAAAGAGTTGATATTGAGCGGTATAATCTTGATTAACTATGTTAAATCAAAGGAAAGCATAGCGGATCATTTGATGAAATGATTAACTAGAGATCAAATATACCATATTTCTAGAGGAATGGGCCTAAAGCCTATCGAATGGAATCAATGTAGCGGAAACCCAACCTTGTAAATTGGAGATCCCAAGATTTTGGTTCAATGTGATAACTAAATTATCAAAGACTCAGTATAAAGCACTTACTCCCATTCTTACAAACCTAAAGTGATGGAATAAAAAGTGTTTAAGGATAAGTGTATACTTTTAATAATTTCTATAACTTGGAAGTAGACAAGAGATGTATAATACAATGGTATAGAAGATGACCTATGTAAGTGTGAAGTGGCTGCTTGTATGAGAATTTGATGCTTAATTTCTCTTAAAACATTTATGAAATCAAGAGTTGTTTATGATCAAAATGAACACAACCATGAGAACCAAAATTGTCAGATAAGTTATGGTGTTAGTACAGTAGTTTTGATTTACACAAACGGCCGAATGGTTCAAAACATGGCGTTCATCAATTAACTTAGTAAATTTGATTATATTTAATTATCGAAGGTTCAAAGTCACAAACCACCTTTCCTGATATTGTAACTTGTCGTTTATACTCCTTTGTTAGAGTCTGCATATCATTTGCATATTGTGGAATTTCAATAATGTGGGGGATTGTTGGAATTTGTTAAGTATTAAATCATGAAAAAGTGATGTTTGTGTCAACATCGACCAAATATTTGAACTTGGTCCAATAGTCAAATTATGAAAATAAATAGACCAACTTATTCTACTCGTCGAGTAGATTGTCGTGATATATTTGAAATCTTCAAACCAATTCCGGGTGAATGAAAAATCACGTTCTAAAGTTTGAAGAAAAGAGAAAAAACTTGCTGAAAATTTGTCCAACTCCGCCGCTCGCCTAGCGCTCGACCGAGGAGGCTGTTGCTCGAGCGACATGCAAGGGATAGAATCTCTGTTTCTGACGCTCGAGTAACGCAATGACGACATGCTAGCAACAGTAAAAGTTGCCATCCTTGGCAAATATTGTTTAGTTTAGGGTGCACTACTTTACTTACAACTCCTCTATAAATTAGATCCTTGGGATATCCATTTCCGACGCTCAAGAGATAATATAGTCTTTCCCTCGCTTATACAAGACAAAATTTTTTTTTTTTGATTTTCCACGCTAGAGCTTTTGAGGTTCGATGGTGGCAGTGGTTCCAGCTTTATAATGCTCTGATATGGTGTGCTGGGGTGGGTGGAAGAAGATGAGCTTTTCAATTTTCATGATTTTTTAAAATTTTCTATTTAATTTTTTTTTTTTTGGATTTGTTAGTGGAGAAAGTCATTTGACAAAATTGCTCATTAAAATAAAATAAAATAAAGACAATTGCTTTGCACGCTACCGTCCAAAAGGACCAATTGCGCTAAAAATGAAAAGGTGTAGACCATTTGCCCCATATGTAAAAGGGTTGGATCAAAACATAATTTGGGCAAAATTTTAGAACTATTTGCGCTAATTTACCTTCTAAGCAACTTTTCCAGCCATCCACAAGTGGCATCGGTGGGTTCCATAAATTGAAGATTCCATTTCCTCACATACTGAATCTGGACACACGCCCCCCACACTCCAATCACCTCAACAGCTCTCTTTCTCGATTATTTTATCGATTAATATATACACATAAAAAATATAAATGGTATATATAACTTGTCTGTATATATGTATTATTATGTAGATAAAGCAGAATCTTGAATAGAATTATCGAGCTTCCTGTTTATGTTCTAGGGCTTTCAATTTTCCTCGCCGTTTCTGGTTCGCCAGCTCTTTCAGCCGTATAAAGGTCCTCTCTCTCTCTCTCTCTCTCTGATGCTAAAATTTTGTTTTTGAATTTTTGAGAAATAATTACGTTTAATGGAAATGAGATAGGTTTCAGTTTATTGATTTTTATAAACGCCTGGGATGTTATTGGGGCCTAAATGAAAATTGTGTTTTTAATTTGGAAAGCTGAATTTTATGAGAGCTTGTTTTAGGTTTTTTGATATTTGTAATTGTTGGATTGTATGTCCATACAGTATAATTGCTGTGGTAAAATAACATTTTATAATTAATAATATATAAAAGTTGGCATCTTGTACGGGGACGATTGTTGTATTGGTCGATTCACTATTCGAGTTTCAATTCGTCGTTAACGTAGAAATAGTTAAAGGTGACAACAGTACACTTTAAGTGTATTGTAAGGGTCACCTGTCGAGTTTAATTTTATAGCATGATCGGGTGGAGAATTAAATTTCACTTGATCAACGTAGTTCAACTAAATCCCTCGACATGTTATGTATATTTTCGTTACTTTATAACAGTTTTTTAGTTTACCAATGGAGGGTATCAATTTGATTGGTCAAATATCTCGGCGAGTTTAGAGCTTGAGAAAAAACGAAGTAGTGAACATGAATTTATGTCGGGAACCGTCGCTCTAAAATGTGGACAGAGTGACTAATTAAATATATTCGGTTGAACGAGTAAGATCTGAGCTCAGTGTTCAGCGAGGTTAAACTTTACATCTATGATTACTTCATACGGCGGATGAAGAGAAAATAGTGCTCAAGTTAGTGAGAATAATTAGAGGGGTAAAACGATCATTTATATTCGTATCTAATTATTGAATCACGGATGGGGATAAAACACATGTATGACTGGTTAGATGAAATTATTACAAATGTTTTGGCTTATGTGACCTTATATATTTCGAAAGTGCAATCTTTTACCGTTAGTGAAAAAAATAAAGACTAATAATTAGATTTGATGGTCTAGGGTCGACTAAATATAATCTAATTATTAGAATTTGGGTAAGATATGTCCGATCAGGTTCCTATGGTAGCTCTATAAAGTATTGACAATTAATTACAATTATTAGAAAAATTTTGGGCTTAATTATAATTACTATAAAATTTTGGGTGAAAGTTGTAAACTTAATTATAATTATAATTGAAATTGTAGGACTACACTTATAATTAAATATAAACTAAGTGGATTTGAACTTTAATTAAAACTCCTATTTGGATTTTAATTAAGACACTTGTCTAGACTTTATTTGAAATCCTTATTGTACATGGATTGAAATCTTTTTATTTAGATGGAACCTAGAAAGCCTACAACAATATACTGCAATAATTATTCCGTAGTGTTCAAATTTGGAGAGAGGAAAAGAGAGAAAATTATTTTCTTACTTTATACATCTGTCTAGTCCAAGAATTAATTTCTTAATTTAAAGAAGTTGCTCACCTACTCGTGTAGTCTCGACTTTGAATAATACCATATAAGACTTGGAAGTTTGGAGCATCAAGTTCTTTAAATTAAAAGCTGGAAGCTCGTGATCTAATAAATTGAAAGTTTGTGATTTAGAATCAATTTAAGAATTAATCATCGAATTTAAGTAAAAGTTTGAGTCATTTATTCTTGATATAACATATACGTGAACATCTAAATGATCTTATTTATTGAATTAAAGAAGTGTTTTAATTTCTAGGTAATTCTATTTTTGCATTCCAACGGTAATTTCTTCGAAAATCTTCTTTTGGATTTTAGCAGCAAGAACTTTAAATTTTTTGGTGGTTCAGTTTTGAGAAATTATTGTTGTGATGTTGACAAAGGATTAATGTATGGCTTCTTGGAGTTATTATTGTATGTTCTGAATATTCAGTTAAATTGATTTTGGGGTGAGTTTTGCAGGTTAGGTTTAATAATCTGGTTATTCTTCCCCCGAGTATTGAACTGTAAATGATGCTTAGCATTGTTTCGGTTTGCTCAATCACTAACCAGACCATGCTTCTGAATTATGTGAGTATGCTTTCTTTGTTTGATCTTGTTATCCATGTAGCAAGGTCATAGAAATATATGCGAAAAACATTGTTCTCTTTCCTAGTGTTTATAAGAGACTAATAGTGAGCTGTGAACTTATAGCATTGACAGTTCTGGGTTATGGTGTATAAAACGAATGATATGTTTTATAAAATTTTCATGCTTTTCTAGTGTTGTCTTGAACCTTCCTAATTTTGATAAAATATAATTTATTCACTCACTTTCTAGTGTGAGAAATTGAAGGTGCTTTGCCAGTGTCTAATGTATAAATTTACTGCTCTGTACTCCTAAATCCCCGAACCATAGCATACTTAGTACCAGTGCCACGGAGAGATATGTTTTCAGATCTCGCATTGAAGACCACCCTTTTTTATTTATTGTAATGCATAAAGATAAAGATAATGCATATATGATCAGATAGATATGAAGTGTTACTTGTGCTTTTCTATATGTGGTACATTTTGATAGGTAAATGATATAACTACTATTCTAACAATCTGAAACCTGAATAATCCTCTTCAGGTGTTAAGCAAACCACCTTTACAAGATTTTATTTATTTCTTTAAGACATTGGCCATTGATAGGCCTTCTGGTCCTCCAAACTGCTTTTGCCTGTCCTCCCTTTATTTGAAGTTTGACCGCACCATTTCTGTTGTGCAGGGTATTCAAGCAACTGTTTCTTCTAATTTTACGTCTCCCAAATTTTATCAGAATTTTGCACTTCCTTCTAAGCTCCATGCTAAAAATTCAGCCCCTAGAAATCACATATTTCTATTTGGAAGCATAAGAGGAAACTTCACTCTAAGAACTATTGTCTGTGCCATTCCAAATGAGCAAGATGATTCTGAAAGATGCGTTTCACATCATTTTGCTGATGACTCAGAGGTTATTTATCCTCTGGACGATGAGAATTCTCAAGTCCCAGATTTTACCCCCCAATTGAAGTCGGACACTGATTTCCAGCAAACATTTATGAGCCAGGGAAACCAGGAGAGCCTCCTTGATAAGCTGAAGGCTATTCAGTTGCATGTTCTGGCAATGGAACAATGGAATTCTTCAAAACTCAAAATGTGTCAAGGGTAAAATACTGTCTTTTTGGGAGTAAGAAGAATGTTGACTATGACCTTTCTTGGCATCTTCCTTTCTTACTAGATTTGTAAGTACAAAAGATAAATAACACAGTTTTTTATATTGCAGAAATTACTTGGTGAGTGGAACAAACCTAATACACTATCTGGCTTTAAAAAGCCTAGATATAGAACCGATTAAAGAAGAGCTTTCTTCACTAGGACTTTTGAATTTGGAGACTATAAATCCATATGTTCTTTCAAGTCTTTCTGCATGTATCCAAATGCTGAATAACTCAAAATCAGATTCCCTCCATGGCTATAAAAGTTCGGGTGAAGTGCTTCCCATTTTCAGAAGCTCACAAAATCGAACAAAGGGGGACTTGGCAATAACTGCAATGATGAAAAGAGCATCATCTAATAGGAATCTACTACTGGGTACACTTCAAGGGCAGAGAGGCACTCATATCATGGTAACAGTTGGCCAAGAGGTAATTGACAATGATACTCATGTAGCTGGTCTCATTGAAGCAGGGGCCACCATTTTTCGCATCAACTGTGCACATGGTAATCCTGATGTTTGGAATGAGATAATAAGAAGGGTAAAGAAAAGTTCTCAAATTCTTGAGAAGCCATGTCGGGTGCTCATGGACTTAGCTGGACCGAAGCTTCGTACTGGCAAACTTAATGCGGGTCCATGTGTACTGAAAATATCCCCCAAGAAGAATGCCATTGGAAGTGTGATATGTCCAGCCAAAGTTTGGCTTTCTCCCCAAGGAGCAGGTCCACTACCACCTCATGTATCTCCTGATGTAATTTTGCATGTGGATGGCAAAGAATTTCTAAGTAAACTAGAGGTAGATGACTCTTTGAGATTTTGTGACACACGTGGAAAGCAGAGGGAACTCAGGATTTTGCACAAGTATCCTATATTTTCTGGGGTTGGATTCATTGCTGAGTGTAGGAAGACTGCATATGTTGAGTCTGGTACTGTACTGCGTACAAAGAAGCAGCGAAGAAAATCTTCAGTTGGATTTGTGATAGATGTTCCCCCTGCAGAGCAATTTGTTAGGCTGAGAGTGGGTGACTTGCTGATACTATCTCGAGATAGTTCAGATGAACTGGATGAATCAACTTCTTCATCAGTTGGTGCCCATAGGATAACCTGCTCATCCAGTTATCTATTTGATTCGGTCAAACCAGGAGACCCTATAGCTTTTGATGATGGGAAGATATGGGGGGTTACAAAAGGAACTAGCATTTCAGAAGTTATTGTTTCAATCACTCATGCTGGCCCAAGAGGTACTAAGCTAGGCTCTGAAAAATCCATAAACATCCCTGAGAGTCACATTCGATATGAAGGTCTTACTTCAAAGGATCTTATGGATCTTGACTTTGTAGCTGGGCATGCTGACATGGTGGGTATTTCATTTGTCCGTGATATTCATGATATTGTCGTGTTGCGCCAAGAACTTGCAAAGAGAAAAAAATTGAATTTGGGGGTTATTTTAAAGATCGAGACAAGAGATGGATTTGAGAATTTGCCACTCTTGCTATTGGAGGCAATGAAATCTCCAAACCCGTTGGGCGTCATGATTGCTAGAGGAGATCTCGCAGTGGAATGCGGTTGGGAAAAGCTTGCAGATATACAGGAAGAAATTATTTCAATCTGCAATGCTGCCCATGTACCCGTCATTTGGGCAACACAGGTACTGGAGTCACTTGTTAAGTCTGGAGTGCCCACCAGATCTGAAATTACCGATGCAGCTAATGGAAGGAGGTATACAGTTACAAAATCTTGATTTCATCTGATAATTTCTAATCTATACCTGGTGATTTTGTGATTGAGTTGGCACCGAATAAAATCAAAGAGAATAAATAATAAAAGAAAGAATTCTATGATGAAGAAAAATAATTATATTCATGTGTGGGGCAGAGAAGTTTAGGACCTTTCAAGTTCTAGTTTTAGTTTTGATGAGAGCAAACTTTGTCAGATACGTGTGAGATTTGCAGTTAAACCCGTAATTGTGAATGCCTGCAAGCAGACTGTCAATGACTTGAATGTTCAAGAAGCAAAACTGACCGAGGACAATAAGAAGTGTCATTTTCTACAGTTCTGCATTATAGGAAAATTATACTGCTAAAAACAGAGAACAGAATGGTGTCAAGAACTAATTTATATGCTGTGAAGATGACGATGAAAATTCTATGTTGTAGACTTGTAGTTATATTCTTCTCGTTTTGCAGATTAAGTTGTGTGATGTTGAACAAAGGGAAGCATATTGCTGAAGCGGTTTCTACTCTCGCCGCCATTTTAAGCAGCAAGTATAACAAAGCAAAAGGAGAACGGAAACCTCTCTTATTGTCCTCCCATGTCAATTAGTCGATCAGTTTTCAACGTAAAGAAGCGGTGGTGTATCCATTGGTCTTTGTATGGTGATTGTAGATAAAATGGACTTGATCAGTATATCATTGGATAGAAGTTCGATTCTATTACTGTTTTTGTAAGAAACTTGTTAAATAGTTAACTGGATTAGAAGAAGTAAAAAATCAAATTGCAGTGGACAGAAAATAAAATGGACTTCTTGGAGCCGGGGCATGTGTTCAACACAGTGTCCTTAAAACAATACTCGCCCCCTCACCGAAATAACTCGAACGTTTGCTTCTTAGGATACAGCGGCACGAATTGCAGCTATGCAGTCGAACTGAAAGAGTGTGTCGGAACGGAATCACCAAGTGACTAGAAGAAGACAGGAATTCGAACAGGAAGCAGAGAGATTTTGTGCAGTTGTTGTGGTGTGTCTGAACTGAAGAGATTGTTCGGTATAAATAGGCAAGGAGGAGCCTTTGCATTTTAATGCAGCCATAACTTCTGCCATTACACTGCAATTGCACTGTGGCCAATTTTTGACTCGTTCGGTCAGACATTCGTGCACGCAGGTCGCGGTCACACAAGTTCAAGGCTCGAAGGCCAAGTCGGTCCAAGATTTGCACCCCCCCTGCAGGTGCGTAGGCCATGGAGGAGTCTCTATACAACAAATGGTTACACCTTATAGATTATTAACTATACATAAATTGGTCCACAAACTCATTTCTATCCTATGGGATAACTATTTAAGTTTTCCCACATTGCCACTCTTCTTTTCCTTTTTCCAATGTGGGATGACACTATTTATAGTTCCCATATATTCTCGTTTTTTCATTTCTAACCAATGTGGGATTGTAAACCCTTTTAAAGCTTCTCTTCAAATCCCAACTTTCAATCAATGTGGGATGAATTTTACATACACAAGTTAAAATTCATTTGTCAATCAATATATTTTTCAACAGTTTTCTGTATTAAATGCCCACACACAACATTGCTCTCTTATTACTGCCATGCGATAAGTCAGTATACCAGCATTGCTTCAGTTTCTTACTGAGGATTGTCAATGGACACAATAGCAACATGTACAAGACTTATCATCATCTATGCATTGATAGTTCAATGCCTATGATTTATTGCAGTTTCACGAACAAAACTCATGCACGAGTTTTCTCACCTTACATCTATAAAATAGCAAAAACGACAACTATTTTTGTTGTCGAATGCATCTATATTTTTTTTTTTTCAGTATTGCAAAATATGGTAGAATGTGCATGGTGAGAGTAAATACTAATTGTATCCAATTCATTGAAGTTTATTGACTGTATCCACGTAATCAAAATTTGAACTCTATAGAGATGAAGGAAAAATTGTCACTGCAAGGAACTATTTTGAAAATTTAAAAGTAGCTTAAATTGAAAAAGGATAATTTCTCTGACGGAAAGTTAAAAAGTAACTCTAGATAAACCCAATGGGAAAGGGTAAAGTACCTCTAGTTAAAAGTTAACCCAAAAGTTGGTGTAAATTGTAAAATATACCTCCAATTAATGATTAAACTTTTTGCTTTTTATTAATTTTAAATTGTAAAATATTCCACGAATTCGTGGTAACATAGCAACATTAAAAACATGTTCGGCTCAATGATTGAACAATACTAGATAATATTAGAAAAAAAAAAGAAGTTAAAATCTTATTTAATATAATATTTTCTTGCTCCATATGGTACTGCATATAAAATGTGTAATTGAAGCTACGTCATTATTTTACAAGGTGCTAGCCTACCTATATTTTACACCTCTTTGTCATGGACGTGCGTCGACCTTTTTCTTTATGTTTTGAAATTGCCTCTTGAATCATTCTATTGTTTACATGCAAGTGATTTAGTGTTATGTATCTACCAAGATTTCATTGAAGAGCGATCGAGTTGGGATGGTTCCTTAATTGTGTTTTTGTTGAGTTGAGAAGAATCTGAACGGCTGTGTAATCGCGTGCGAATTAAGCAAGTCAACTTGTGAACTCGACCTCTTGTAGGATGTCATGACCTTAGAATCTCAGATTAGTAGAGAAGTCATTTATGAAGATGGGACCCCTCGACTTGACTTCGGAGCGTGATTGCGTTATCGCCGTGGTGTAACCGGATGCTAATTCACATGGAATTTGATCGAGAAAAAAACCAAAAAAGAAATTGTTCTTACATGTGAATCATGCCACCTTTTTCTTTCCAAGGAGGCAGTGAGATTCTTTATAAACGCTTAGCCAAACACGCTTTAAGTCTTGTTCTTCTAATAAAATCCATTTTTAATTATATTTGTCTATAATCAAGGAAAGTAAGACTATATTTTTAATTAATTTATTGCTTATGACAGAGAAAACACTATTCGTATTTTTCAACCTTAGTTACAATAAATTACCCCAAGTCCAACCTAAGGCCCCTAAACCCTTGTCCACATTTATAAATACGAGTACACTCCTTCACCTCCTTCCCCTTCTCTCTACTCTCTCTCTCTTCGTATATTCTCTCTCTATATATCTGCTCTCTGAATTTGAGCTCGCCGATTGAAGATATTGTCCTGCACTGTGACAACGTTGTTTTCTAGGAGAATCATCGTAAGTTGTCTTTCTTCTTCATTTAATTTCTACATGCAAACAAACGCATATTTTCATTGTTGATTATTTGTCTTTCGCCGGCGTGTTGTGAATACTTCCGGTGGATTTTGTTTTCTGAGTAATGGCGATCGGTCCGTTACAAACCGAGAAGCGGTTAGCGTTCGTTTTTTACTTCATCTAAAGGGTGCAAATCCGGGGTGCACCGACACCACGCGATTTTTCTACGTGGCGACGACGAGTAATGATTTGGGAGCGCAAGTAAGGACACGCGCTCCTTTCGGATACTTTGGCTTTTGTGGAAGGTAGTTACGTGTGGTACAATCCACCGCACACGTGTGTGCTGGGCCCATATGTCTTGACTGGGCCAGAAGTCCGTGTTGATCTTGAGGCCCACAGGTTCCTTGGGTAGTGTTTGGAAGGTGACAGAACCTGATTATGAGCTTATTTGGCTAAGCTAAAATAAATTATTATTTTTTAATCTCAGTAGCTTTTTTATTTTTAAATATGTATTGACATAGAAGATTTCTTATTTTGAAAACAAGTTTTACTTTATACTCAAAATAATTAACATGGTTTTCCATGGTCTGGTTCACAAATCTCGATGACTTTAGGCCTCTGTGTGAGCTACATTCTCATTCTTGTACTCATTTTCAACCACACGTTATTTAGTAAAATAATATTTTCCATCACATCAGTAACTTTTCCTTCCCTTTCAATCACATATTCACCACCACATCACAAAAAAAAATGTATTCTCTCCTAAAAAATGTGCATCAAACACACCTTAGATGTTATCAAGACAACAACAACATAAATTGACCTCAAATATTTAACAACGTTTTAAACTTTTTTTTTTTCGAAGAAGGGCTATATATTGAAATAATTTTATCGACAGATGCCTTTGCAAAATCAGCCTTTTTAGAGTTTTCAAATTTTCGACTTTGAGCTTCTGTTTTGTATCCATTCTTTTTTTCATTCTCATTCTTCTACTAATTTTCAACCACACATTCATTAATAAAATAATATTTTCTACCACATCAATAACTTTTCCTTCATTTTCAACCACAAAAAAGGTGTGATTTGACACAAAGAATGTATTTTTTTTCTAGAATAATGGTTACCAAACGGTGCCTGAATATGGAAAATTTTTTAGACCGGAAGAAAACCCAAATTTTTTCTTAGTCCATTTTTACAAGATTCCTCGCACATTTTCTTGACGACTAAGTTACTCAATCGTCGAAAATCTAGAAATTCTATTGTGCCCTTCAAAAATCAATCACTAATTAAATACAATTATTTAGTCAATTTCACATTCATTACCTACCCAATCTACCATGATTTAGCCCATTATTCTATTCATTAGTCAATTAATTGTACTTCATACAATGTATTAGAAATTTAAATAAATTGTTCCTAATAAAAGTGCAGTTCCAGGTAGTTTCTTGGACGTGGACTTTTCGTCCTATAACGTGTGTCCTGTCCTCTAGTAGAAAACTCGTTCAGTACATTTGGAAAACTTTTATTAAAGCATATTCTACGTGTCATGTCCCTAATACTAATTGTTCCTACCTTCTTGGAAATTTACACCAGATTTTTTTACTCGTATTTTCCGCCTTGTTCCATTTCTTGTCGGTCATTAAATAATTTTATTTTCTTGGTATGTACTTTTCTAGGTTCACACCTAATAGTATGGAGAAGTCGAGTCTTTGTGGTTACGACCTTGTTACTGTGACAAGTCAATGACATACTCAATGACCGAAGAGACAATTTGAAAAAATATAAAATAAAAAATACAACGCCCAATCTCATCCTGCCACAACATCACGTCACCTCAGCTCCCCTCCCCTCCTGTGATTGACCCTGGCCAATGAGCATTAATCTTTTGGTTATTTTAATGATGGCTTCATAGGATACACGTCACATCTTTATACATGAAAAGAATCTAAGGTTTCATGTAAGGAAAGAAAGTTATCACGTTTTTCAAGGTATAAATTTTTTAAAAATTAAGCATGTTATGAGTTTAAGAAATTGCTTTACTTGCTTGGAAGTTGAATCGACCTTTGAGATTCTTAGTTTTTGACATCTATATTATTAAGAATCGCATAATATTTTTGTTCGAAAGTAGGTGATTTTATTATGTGATGGATTGGTCGAACATTTCTTGATTCGTTCGCATTAAATTCTTGAGATTTGAAACTAACCATACACATTGGTGTATCTTGACAATGAGGTCACTGTCATATTACTCCTTGATTTTTAAGATTTCAACACTGAATTTTCAATAAAAAGCTTTTAACTCTAATTGCATCTTTGCTTGTTTTTGTTAGTTTATAGCTAAAGGCAATTAGGGGTAGCACTTTTTGAATTTGTATTGAGAAATTGATTAAAATTTCTAACTCATGGCAGGTACAAGTCTTTCATAGGGATTCATTAAAAGTCGTGCCATTCTTGAAGATGTATTTTTCTTCTATGTCAACATACGTACGCCTCTTGCAAAACTTACAAAATAATTTCCTCTTTTTCGAAATTTTTTTCCGGTTAAAATCTTTTGGTACTCGTTCGCTTCGAGAAATTGTAAGTCCCTTTGCAAGTTTCAAAATTTTGCATTCAACCCTCGATGTAAACTATCTTTGTAATTTGACGTATATTTCGTATACGACGTCAATGAATTTTGACCGTTTGTATACTCCTATTACACCAAGATACATACATAAAATCCAATTTGATCATTGACTCCAAACATATTCTTTTTTTTTTTCCACCCCATGTACAACCAGCATGGTTCCTTTTTTTCCTCTTAAAATTTTCACACAAAATATTTGGTGTTCTCTCCACAGAGAGAGAGAGAGAGAGAGAGAGAGAGCAGTTGGCAGCCGTTGGACCTTGAGAGGTTGGTAGTTGGCCGTGGAACCAACTGCTTTATAAAAAAAAGCAAAAAAACTCTTTTGATTAAGACCCAAGTTTAATGCTGAGTCACTCGAATACGATTTTATATGAAAAGAATATTAAAAATTTCCTCACGCTTTTTGGTTTTCATATCAAATAATCAAATCCCATTTTTTTTCCCTCCAAAGTGACCTTACTCTTTTATACATTTATTTGCTTTATTTTTTGATTAATTCAGACCAGCCATTGGAAAAGACTATCAGGTTTTTTTTTTTTTAATCCATTTTGTTGGGTTCCTTATGGTTATTTTTTTAAATCCAAATTAAGTTAATTATCCTTAGTCGCATGGTTATTTTATTTTATTTTTTTACACGAGTAACCTACTTAATTACCTCGACTCTGCTTTTAAACCCAATAATATTAATTTGTATCAAGAATCATGATTTTCAATATATATTTATTTTTTACTGTTATAAACTGATTAAANGGGTGGGGGATGTTCATGTGGGTCCCGCATGTTTCGTGAACAATAAAAAACAAGGATTTTGCTAATTGTATATCGGGGTTCACACCCTCCTCACAAAAGAGGGGCCGACATCCAATAAAAAAATCTAGCAAAACCCCAAAAACAATGCCTTTACATTAATGTGGCTTAGTGACGGAGGCTTGCATTGATTTGAAATGTCATTCTTTTGTAAGGTATAGTATTTTTCTTTTCTTTTTTTTATTCATTTTTTTTATGGGATGTTTTTTTTTCTTTAATTTTCACCTTTATTGATATTTCAAACATCGACTATTTTTTTTTCTTTATCATATTTTCTAGATACATTGAATTCGACATGCATTATTTTTTTAATCATGTCATATCATTCATTTAATACATAAAACGTGTTGAAAAGGGACAGTGCAAAAGCCCAATTCATAATTTATTGTTTTTCCCTCTAAATTTTGGTTTCTGAATATGAACGAAATTCTAAATGTGACTACTTTTTCTTATTTTCTTAATAGAGAATGGTGAAGGAAAACTTCTGGAGGTTTTACCAGGCAATGGGCCTTGAGAAATGGCTTTCCAAGTCACAGACCATTGAGCCCATTTCTAGGGAAATACGAGAAGTTGGGCACACTGATTCTGTTCTTAGTGGGCCAGATACTGAGGATGGAAAGTATGTTTCTTGGCTGGTAAGTAGTACTTTAGTAATTGCAAATTCTAGTTGAGTAATTTACGTAGACGACTCTAAATTTATTAAGAATAACGCCCAACACGTTGTCCTTTGATGATCATTTGTTTTTACGTACCATGTTTAAAATTAATTCATCAGAGGATGTTACATTATTAATGATGTACCTATTTCAGGAGGAACACCCTTGTGCACTTGCTTCATTTCATCAGATTATGAACTCTGCGAAAGGGAAGCAAATTGTCGTGTTTTTAGATTATGACGGGACTCTTTCACCAATTGTGAATGATCCAAACAGCGCCTTCATGTCTCATCCGGTAAATTTTAGTTATTCTATTACTACTCTCGAACTCATGCTACAATTACGATTTATTTTAGATTATGAAAGAAATTTTGTAGATGCGCTCGGCTCTGCATGAAGTAGCAAGGCGTTTTCCAACAGCTATTATAAGTGGTAGAAGTCGAGACAAGGTAACAAATTACTAATTTATGTTGTATAATGGGATACTTTCTCTTCTTTCGGCATAAAATGTGTGCGCGCGTTTTATCAGGTGTATGAATTTGTAAAGTTAGACAATGTTTATTACGCGGGAAGCCATGGGATGGACATAATGGGGCCTCCATTGCAAGTTGAGTCTTACCACGACAAGTATCAGACAAATGCTCATGATAAAAAGGTAAGATTCGGCTTGTCTGACATACTACAAAAGTATCTTTTAAGCACAGCCAAACATGCTTTTAGACTTTGCCTCGAAGCAAAGACTGAGGTCCTATCTAACATTAAATATTACATAAAATTTCGGACTACTTTTCTATGCATAAGTCACTGATTTGTTATAATCATTTTGCAGGGTAAAGAATTCACCGTCTTCCAACCTGCTCGGGAGTATTTACCCTCAATTGAAAAGGTAATTTTTACTTAATTTTGCTTAAGCACTTCCTCTATATGGTTAATTTATTCGATTGAGAACATCTGTATGTTCCATGTTTAGTTTGTTGGTTCAAATGCAATTCAAACAAATAAATTTCTTCTTGTAATAGATGTTAAAGGAGTTGAAAACCCGAACCTGCAATATACCAGGTTCTTTCGTGGAGGATAATAGGTTCTGTATCTCTGTGCATTACCGGCATGTTTTGGAGGAGGTACTAAAACATGCAATCAACGTAGTATTTTCTATGTCATAAGAAAAAGGAACTTTTATTCGACTTAATGAGGTTTGTTCATCTAATGTGCAGGATTACGAAGCTTTAGAAGAGATAGTTTGGTCAGTACTTTCCGACTATCCTTGCTTCCATATGACTCGGGGCAAGAAGGTTATGGAGATTAGGCCATCAATCAAATGGAACAAAGGAGATGCTCTCGAATACTTACTTGACACTCTTGGATTTGTCGACTCCAGTAATGTCCTTCCTTTTTACCTTGGTGACGACAAAACTGATGAAGATGCTTTCAAGGTTTTCATCCATTATGTTTGATCACAACCACTTTGTATTGGACTTCTTAAGGTTGTCATTAGTAACATTTCTTGTTTGATTCATAGGTACTTGAGAGAAGAGGACAAGGGTACCCCATAGTTGTATCTTCCATCCCATGGGAAACCTCAGCTTCGTATTCGCTACGCGATTCTTCAGAAGTTTTGTCTTTTTTGAAACGTCTGGCAAGGTGGGGGAGAGGCATTGGCCTAATGGATCATCTTATCAGGACGTATTGCTTTCTGTATAGATGTTCGTAGTGAAGGTTTTAGAGATAGGTCGAGGAAATTGGATAAGAATTCACAGGTGTATTTTTTGAAGCTCCTGTGTATTCTCCCATTTAAATGACCATTATTATCAGCAACTTGCAGTAGTGTATAGTTCATGAATTCAGTGGTTATGCAATGAATTTATCTTTTACTTTCCCAATTCGTCTCATTGTTAAATTTGAGATTAAAAATTAGCCAAAGTTTTGTCATGACTACTTGTGATTTGATTTGACTTCTATTTTCAACGTGTATCTTGTCATGTCAACTACATATTCGACAACAACATTTTTGACATTTGAAATGTGAAACCTTAACTTTATGTTCCGAAGAGGCAATCTACTAACTGTCAACTAGAATAAGATGCAATATAGAATTTAAAGGGATGACAGTGTTTGTGATTATTCATTAATGGAATAGACAGAAATTAGATAACAAAATACTAGGATGGATGGTAATTAATTACGAGATTATCTTGTCTTCCTTTTATGGGGTGACTTTTGAACTCAGTGACAGCAATGCTGCTTTCTAAATAAATAAGGTACTATAGAAACTTATCGTTAATGAAATTTGTATAGGGTATCAGAGAGGGTCGAGTCATAGAAGCTAGGTGTTGTTACATGGTCCATTGCCACCCCTAGATTGTCATATTTGAAATCTCGAATCAATTTTAAAAGTGGTGAGAGAGACACTTTTTAACATAGTTTCATTAATCGACAATAGAGTTTCCGTTCTACTTTTATATTCACATGTGAGTATAAACTTCAACGTTTTCATAGCAACAATACCTTCGTAGACAGTAGTCGGGATCATGTGATGATATAATTTAACCTTGTCGAAAGACGGGTCGTTGTCGCCCATGCAGGATGTCCATGACCAAACCCACAAGACTTTAAAATTGAGTTGGAGGGAGGTGGTTTGATTTCGAATTCAAACCCTAAACCTCCATTATCTACAATCGTTTTTTCAGTAAGTATATCATCTTTCAGTCACACAAAAAAAAAAATTGAAAAAAAAGGAGATAAAATTCTTCGTAAAAAGTTCTACAGCTCGGGGAGTTCCTGAGTTAGAGCATGAACTGAATGCAGTTCTTTTGTATAAATTATTAGTCTTAAAACTTGTCAGAAAATAAGTAGCAAAATATTTGAAGGGGGAAAATTGCCACATTTTGTATTAATAATTGTGACCTGCTTAACTATTCTCTATACAAAACACCACCCGCCCCAGCACCACCCCTACAGTTGAGAATAATTGAAAACAGAGATGAAGACTTATGCTAATACAAGCTCCTCTTCTTCCTGTTGCTGTACCAGTTCTTCAGATAATCGTCCTTCGCTATAGGGAAGAAGAATGCGCTTTATGTCTTCTGAACTAACGGTCTCGTACTCTAGAAGTGCACTTGCTAGAGCATGCAACGCCTTCTCGTGCTGCAAAAACAAGTACAAAAACATCAAATTTGCAGCTAATCACTAAATCTGTCTCATTAGATGGTTATTGTAAAATTTTTTAAGTGAACCTTCTTCAGCAGGGCTTTTACACGATTATAAGCGTCCCTCAGTAGCCTGACCACCTGTGCAATCAATAAACAGATTAATAATGGTAAGAAATATTTTCAATATGATGAAATCACAGCAAACTGCAAACGCATACTTCAGCATCAATACGGGATTGCATCTCTGAACTGGGCCGTTCTATAATGTGGACAGGTCCAATTGCATCGCTCATCCCACAAGATGATACCTAGCAAGAGAGAAAAAATGATCAGAACATTTCAACTTTTTGATCAGTTTTTCCATCACGCAAAACCTCACAGTATATTTGATTATGAAGAAAGACTCTTTACAAAAAAAAATATACCGTGCAGAACATAAGCGTGTACAATACTCCGCTAAATTTGTTCTAAAACTACTAAATACATGTTTAGTGTGTTGGATTGGACTAGAGAAAAATCAGTACTTTCTGGTATTATGTACCAAACATACCATAGAAGTTTAAGTCATTAAAAGCAACTCAAATGCACAATACATTCAGAGGACAGAAGACCCTCCGATCTAAATACCAGTGTACCATACACCATGCCCCTCAGTCCTGTCACAATCCTCCCAGTCTCTTCACGCAATTTCTACCCCAAACCGCACCCAAAAAAGCATGACAGAGAAAAAGCAAAACCGAAACCCAAGTAACACAAGCTACGAAGATGGAAACAGAAGCAAGCAGGGTGGAAGGATAAGGTCACATTCTTCCAGAGAAACAGTGCCCATATTTTGCCAAATGTATAAAGATTGATTAAGTAAACTGCTTGATAGTATGGGGAGTACCATGTACTGAGCAAGCTCTGTAGCTGTGTGAAGATCACTACTTGCTCCAGTAGTAATATGATCCTGGCCAAAGATAAGTTCCTCAGCTACTCTTCCGCCCATACAAACATCAAGCCGAGCTAGCAGTTGTTTCTTGCTGATTGAAGTTTCATCATTAGAAGGAAGCTGGGTAACCATGCCCAAAGCCGATCCACGCGGCATGATTGTAGCCTTATGAATTGGGTGTGCACCTTCAGTATTCAAGGCAACAATAGCGTGCCCACTTTCATGATATGCAGTGAGCTGAAAACAAACATTAAGAGCATTCAGGACAACTTTGTCGTGAAAAGATCCAGTAGATGAAAGCTTAATTTAGGAAAAAAGTCATATGCATTATGCAATTGTTACATGCAACCCATGGCCATAAATAAACAATGCGCGACTGCAAATGGATTTAACTATACTGTCTTAGCAACCAGTCTCCCAAAATAATTATTTACTTGTCCACAAATATTAATGCCAAGCACTATAATAATCGTTAAGTTAATTATTACTAATAATTCAGATTTTTTTAAAGCAGAAATCCAGTTAACTTTTCTATTCTAGGATTCCAGCGAGTCAATTTCAATAATTAGCAGGGCAGTTGAGTGTTATCACAAGTTGATGCATGAAACTCAACCCAGACAATTGACAAACATAATCCTACTGTAACAGAATAAAACCATTGATATTAAGTGTTAATAGATCCAACACTGATAATGCTAGATGTGGATAAGATGTGTACAACAGATTAATAAAGAAAGAAAGAGGTACCTTCTTTGAATCTTCTGACAGAAACATTGTTTTCCTTTCTGTGCCCATCATTATCCTGTCTTTGGCAAACTCTAACTGGGATGCAGTCAACTTCTCAGCACCTTCAACAGCAGCCTTAATGGCAGCAATATTGACCAAGTTCGCAAGATCTGTTCCAGGAAGTGGAGTCAGGGGAACAAAATAGAATCCACTTAAATCTCAAATTGATTCACGTATTTCATTAATCAATAAAAAAATACATCATATTTACTTTTTCCATTACACAGATCCAAGAAATTCAAGCAGGGCCCATGTATCACATACTCATGGACAACCTCAGAACACTGTAAACTATGAATATCATGAATCTTGTACTCTACAGAAAAATGCTTTATGGCAGACTGCAATTGAATAGCAAATAAAGTAACAGTATATCATGCCTGCCCCATTGAATCCTGGAGTACCACGAGCAATCGCTTTCACATCAACATCATCAGCCAATGGTTTGTCTTGTAAATAGAGGTCCAATATCTCTTGACGACCGCGTACATCCGGATTAGGAACAACAATCTGGACGGAATGGACGCACAAATCAAAAAATAAAAAATAAAAAATGCGAGTTAAAAACTAAATTAACAGAAGGGAAAAAAAGAGCACAAATCTAACATATTAGCACTGCCTTATTAAGTATTTATCCTTCCCACAATCCTCATTCATTTGCACTATCATTTTCCTCGTACCACATACACCCTATATCAGAATCAAAAGTATCTCAAAGCCTATTTGGGATAGCTTTTACTTCTACTTTTGCATTCTCATGAAGCCACCTTGGACAACTTCCTTTAAAAGCTTTACTAACCTGCCAAAACACTTCTAGAAAATTATTTAAAATTATCCAAACAGGCACAAAAACAGCTTCTTAGTCTCTTAAGGCCTGCTTGAGAGTTTTTTGGTGGGCACCGTGTAGGAGAGGTTGGGAAAATCGGTGTTTGTTAGTTTTTTTTAATACCATTTTGGGAGGTTTTGTGTACTTTTGACCATCTTTCTCAACCCATCAAATTGGTGAGTTTTGGCCGTTTCTCAAATTCCCTTCCATTTATCCCCGATAAGATAATTATTTTCAACTCACATATATTATTCAAAACTAACTCGTAAATAAAAATACATTAACTAAAAAATTTATTTATATGCAAAAAAAAATTACTTTGAAAAAAACTATTAAGTCAAAAATTAGTTATAAGTTGTTTATAAAGTAAAAATACTACTAGTAAGACAAAAATTTACCTACAAGTACAAAATTATTTAACAGTGCAAAATTTATTTATAATGGTAAAATTTGCTTACAAGTAAAAAATTAATTTACATGTAAAAAATCAGTTATAAGTAAAATATTAATTATGAGTAAAAAAAGTAAATAAGAAATAAAAAATTGAAAATTTCAGTATTTCACTATGTAGCATATATGTAATTTTATTTTTCTAAAAAACTTTCAGAACCATTAGATAACAAACTCTCAATCATATGTTGGAGTGTTTCAAAAACTGCTACAAAAAATAACACAAAAACAGACCTCTCATAATTGCCTATAACCGGTACCCCAAAACTCCTAAGCAGGCCCTTAAACAGCTTTTAACTTTTCAAAAGCCTTGTCAACAGGTCCTTAGTCCTCTATTGCAATCTTCTCTATTCTACATAGTTAAGAGCGGGGAATAGAAAATGAGTTTGACCTTGCTATATGCCAACTCTTCTTCAGTTCCATTACTTAAATTGGACATCAACCTAAACTAAACCAAAGTAAAGGACTACAAGGATAATTGTACGACCAAAAGCATTATGCAACATAGCAGTAAAGCAGATGTAGACCTTGTTTTTGAAAGCTATTCAAGTCAGTAGCAAGATTCTCATTAAAAGTCGATTGAATTTTGCCAGGCTTTACTCCAATGTTTAGAGTAAAACAAAAGTAATGATGAAACAAGAGGAGCAATTGCCTAATGTTCCTTAGTTCCTTCTTCACGTAAGGGGGGGAAATGTGACAGGAAGAAAAACAGCATTCTATTGGGCAGGCCACAATTATTATGTTTGACACACATCAAACTTCGACAAGGTGTATATTCTCCAATTCCTATTTGGGCACACAAATTTTATTCTTGGTTAAATATTATTCCATTTCCACTAGGAAATCAAGTAAAAGAAAGAAATATGTTTTCACCCACTTTCTTCCTTATCTTTTTCCTCTACACTCTCTCTTTATTTTCCTTCCTTTCTTCAAAACCAAACCAGAGCAAAAAGTTCAGGATATTGAGTTTTCTTCTGTTGGGTGAAATAGTGCAGCCTATAAGAAAGTCAAGGAAAGCAAACATAGAACCAGTTAACAAAACATGTTTTAGCTCCAAGATAGGATTCTTGAACTTTTCTCAGGTCCTTGGATAGCTAACTAATTCAAAGACTCGTTAACTGCCAGGACTCCATAAATTTGTGAACCCAACAAATTCACAAACTGAAACTGAGATTTGGGAGTGGGGCTTACATTTTCATAAAGTATCAATAGTTATTGAGAAATTAATAATTCTTGAAACCACAACTCAAAATCTCTGAGTAATTGTACAGTACAGAAATATCATATCAAAGATAAGAAGTTAATAAATGTAATGGCGCGAGGCTTTTTTCTTTTTTTAAAACATAATTCACCACAGAATATATAATACCTGATCACTACCAAATTGAGATGTCTAAAATTTGATATAGTTATAAATGAAGAAAAAGGATTTGAGCATCAAAGATGTGCAGGTCTTCGAATATTATCAAAAAAAACTTACATGCCGGTCGAATCTACCAGGTCTCGTCAAAGCAGGATCAAGTATATCAGGCAAGTTTGTTGCAGCCATCACAATAATTCCCTGTGAAAAAGTCCAAAAAGTGATTTAATAAATAGAGAGAATATAAGCAAACTGCGCAACTTTGTGTGTCTTTACCTCATTCTGTTCAAAACCATCCATTTCAACAAGTAGTTGGTGCAGCGTTTTTTTCGTATGACCTTCCCACTGCTTTCGGGTTGAGCCAACAGCATCAATTTCATCAATAAATATGATGCAAGGTGCCTACAAGATGTACAACAGAAATCAGAATGAGTCCAGTTAATGGAATACTCGTATCATCCATTTTCAACAGAAAAACCAATAAATTGGAGATATCATTTGGTTTTTTTCCTGGATAAAGCTGCAGAGTGGAAAAACTAGTTACATAGATTGCTTCCTGGAATACATGATCGACAGGAGATGATCAAAAGTGCGACATGTTTTGTTTGATTTTCTATGTCACATAATGACTTCACTATGCTAAGTAAGGCCATTTTAACCTGCCCCATAATATGGACTCCATGCAGGTATAGCATTTGAGAAAACAGAAGAGATCGTGATTACAAATCGTATACTTAAATTCGAAGGTTACCATATTAACTTTTTAGATTATAGAAGCAATAATGTGTTGAGTTTATCCACTTCTTCTGGGCTGTTCCAAGTAAAAAATTTAAGCATAAAAGTTCAATAGTTCCACGAGTAATTTTCATCATTGCTTGCTTCGTAGCAAAAATTGAACCATTTTTCATTCCCATCTAAAACTGTTGTATAACTGTATTTCTTGACATTGATTGAAGCTGATACCACAGATTCCCAATTATTCCCTAACTTTCATTTTAAGATTAAAAAAAATGCAAAAGTGTATGAATTATTATTGATATAGTATAGTATTTCACGTGAAGGAAACACAATAACTAAAATGGACTTCATAAGAGGGAGGACTAATTGATTTAATTGTGCATTAATAAATCAATGATGAATTTCTGTCCGGGGTGGGGGGGAGATTGAATGGTGGCATATTATGAAATGAAGTAAAAATATAAAAGAGAGAATTACGATGAAGTATATAAGCTAAGCACGAATACTTTCAACAATCTATCATCTCTCCTTTTCCAAGTACAATTTGATATGTTATGGCGCCTGGTAAACATGACTGAGAACTGCAAAAGGTAGAAGCAGACAGACCTTCTTTTTAGCTGCTTGAAACAAGGATCTTACACGACGAGCACCAACCCCCACAAACCTAGAAAAAGAAAAAAAATTGTAAATTCCAGCTCCACGCCTCTACATTTTGACCATGCTAAGCTTCGAGATCTTACTTTTTCGGGATTACTGAAAGTTTATTTTGGTACTATTTCGGTCCTTTTAATGATCAAAAATTCAAAACTGCAGAAAAGAGATTGTTTTCAGGGTGCACATGAATTTGGACACATGCAATCATCCTGTCTTCCTATGGTTTACTAAAACCAGAGTATAGTTTTCTATTCAATTTTTCCTGAACTGGCAAATAATGTGAAAGCTCTTCTAAACATGCTTACATTTCTTCGAACTCAGAGCCAGCTCTGTAAAAGAAAGGAACACCAGCTTCTCCAGCAATGGCCTTCAAAATAAAAGAAACATTATGATAAAAATAAATACTGCCTGTAGCAGGCAGAAGCCACGATGAGCCATGCACTTCAAATTTAGCAATAGGGAGAAGCAAGTCCATAAAATATGATAGATATCCTTAGCTTACCTTGGCAAGCAGAGTTTTACCTGTTCCAGGTGATCCAGTCAGAAGGATTCCCTGAAATTTAATAGAGATTACAGCATACAATTTGGAAGAAAGTATTTATTCAACAACTATAAAAACATATAAGACAAAATTGCTTCACATAAGCAAACCTTGGGTAACTTCCCCCCTAATCGAGTAAACTTTGAAGGATTTTTCAGATACTCGACAACCTCCTCAAGCTCTTGCTTAGCATCATCACAGCCTTTGACATCTTTAAATGTTTTAACATTCTGCCATAAAACTGTTCAATAACTACTTTGCTGATTGTAATTATAAAGGTCAAACCACTAAAGATCCACCTTAGACAGCAAAACTTATATCTAGCTTGATATGAACTATCCCAACAAAGTGTTTTTGACAAATAGAAAGAGTAGCAGAAATCTCTTAAAACAAAAATGAAACTCAAAACAATCCATTATCCTTTTTAACATGAAATTTAACAAGTTTGCATTAATAAAAATGTGTTATACATATGGCTAAAACAGTCACATGGTAATAATGACAAATTACCTTCTCTGGAACTACTTCTTTGTTCAACTCTTTTGGGGAATAAGAAGAACTTGAGCCAACTCCAGGAGTTCCTATCCCACCCAAGCTACCAATATACTTCTGAAGTGCAGCAGCGCCCATTAGCCTGAAAAAGCCATCAACATTTCAAAACCCAAAGGACAGAATTAGTAAATAATAACGTATTCTTCCACATATATGAGAAATGGAGAGAGAACAGTCATAATGTCCTCACACTTATAAGTTTATTAAGTTATAACCCCCAGCCCTGAAAAACGAAGTGCCAGGAAAATGCAACATATTTAAGCAACTTCATCACCCATAATTCCGTAGAAGTAAAATATATAACCAGAACTGGAAAAATATGAATCGAAAGGTCATACCACACTAAGCCGACAGCAACAGTGAACAAGATGGTCGAGATGACTTCTTGTACAAGCCGAGACGATCTGTTTGACATTTTGGGGTCAACCTATCCAGAACACAACATGCTAAGGTTTGAGAATAGGTGATGCACTAAATAAAGTTCCAACAAGAAAAGCATCACAATTAAGTAGTAACTTACTTCTAATCCTATGATAATGATAGTGCTAAAAGTTAATACCATGACAGGCACACAGAAAACAATGGTAAAAAAACAACAGCAGCATAGTTTCTGTTTACTGTATATAAGTATGCCTGAAGCAGCCAAAATTCACGTCTCTTTCAGTCCTTACCATCACAACATGTAATGGCTGCTTCTCAGATATACCGGGGTTCACAAAGGGCTCATCCATGTTCCCCGAAGCACGCTGCTTTAATTCTTGCAACTACATATAATATTTAATTGTTAGCAAATTGAGGAACATGAAATATGCTCAATTTTTAGAATGAGATTGCACAAGATATTATTCATTGTTGTGGAATCAGTTATAATCAACCAAAAAAGGTGCAAACGATGGGGAAAAGATCCAGTGGATAAAGAGGCAGATGTGGCCAAAGACACCAGTTTCACTCGCATCATATATTTGATTCAGATAATATGAGAAGTTAAAAAGTGTATATGCATCAAATGATAAAGGGAGCAGACTGCATGAAGTGTTTGATGATATTCACCAGGATGGCAACAAGAACAAGGAAAAAAAAAAATCTGCAAAAACTTTGGTTTTCTAACTTACTGACCTTCAATAAAATTGTCCTTCCAGAAAAATATATTAACAGCTTGTGAAAGTGTTATGTATACAGTAACAACGCTATATCATTAATAGATATACCATTTGTGTCTATTGAAAAATTAGACAGCTAAGAAAAGAAAAATGCACAGCATAGTACCAGAGAAGGAAGACTGGAAGGTTTCCCTGACTGTTCATCAGGCAAATATTCAGCAATGGCATTCGTGGCCACTAGCGCTCGAAGATATTCTGCAACTCCCCTACTGTCTACAGCATGAGCTCTTTGTTCAAACCGCTGTATAACAGACTCAGGACTGGACATAGCAAAAAAGAAAACCATCAGAACATGTCTCCAGCTAAATACCAGTTTTCAAATTTCTAGTGTAAGGTATGAGGAGTCACATTTCATGTGCAGATTCAAAATTTTATGAATGGTATGAAGGATTCAATATGTACAGTAATAATAACATTTCAACTTCTGACACATAAGCTCACAGAGATTAAAACAGTCCACCAACATTGACCATTATAACACCTATTTTCCAGCATGATTCAAATCACACGCCTTACCATTGTATTAAGTTGTGTAACACTGTCACTATATCTTGCCCAAAATTACTATATTTTGAATATAACTAAAATGTGCAGACACTATTTTCAGCTCATCCTACATACCAATTTATTTTTATGTAGTTTTTTTCAAAAAAAACAGCGTGTCCCCATTAGCAATCCTCCTTGAGCTATCTGCTTTCAGTAAATAATTTAAGTTTTCTAAATTTTAAATATTATGAAACACCCAATATAATTCAACCAGTAATGACACTTCCATCAATAGTATATGATACATTTTTAACTGATCCCTCTATTTTAACTAAATTAGAAATAACTTGACCAACAAGATATCAATTCAAATAAGAAGCAAAAGAACTCTAATTCAAAATGCTACTATTCACCAATTCCTCGTATTTTTAGTAAACAGTAAAGCAAGAATCTTTGCATACAACTCAATAACACAATCCATTATTAAGGTGAAATGAGCCATAAAGACCTGTGCTTATTGAGCTCCGCCAGAAGTGCACTCTGCTTTGCAGCATCCTGAGGATTCACATCAGCCTCAGTGATTAAACGATCCAACAGCTTCTCCTGCCGCCAAAACGGCCACCAACTGAACCAATCTGAATACAAAATTCTCTGAAACCCATTTCTCAACCTGGCAAAAACTCCCATAATAAACACCAGTATTGGCAACCTCTTCTCGACATCCTCAGTTTGCCCCAAACCTTCCTTTGGCACCTCGCCCTCTACTCCTTCACCCGCCTCAATTTTTGCACTTCCCCCCACAATATCCCCATTATTAAACTCATTTACTTCAGGCTTTTCAATATCCGTATTTAAATTACCATTAAATAAGTCCGGCGTTGAATTTACACTTTCTGGAATTGGATTTAATGTACAAGAAACCACTAAACGATGTCGGGAAAATCGAGACTTAGGAGGAAGCCAATTGAACTTATGATTTCTACTTCTACATAGAATTAACGGAGAAGCAAAAAGGGAAACCCGGGGTTTCAGACAAAAAGCTATATTATCGAATTGCGAGAATGAGGGCTTGTAAACAAGAGAAGCTTGAAGTGTAGCACTCATAGCAATACAATTCTCAATTCAAAAAACCAAAACTGACGATCAAATTACGATTTATAAAGAGGGGTAATTTCTTTATTCTTATTGGGTTTAGAGTTGAACTTACTCACAATTCACAAACAAATTGACAGCATTTTCTACTCTTCTCTGCACCACAAGATTGGGTTGTAGATATTGAGAGAGTAGAGAGAAGAAAAACCTTATCTTGATTGAAAATTGGTGCTTATGGTTTGTGGCCTTTATATTCTTGATGAGAAATTAAGGGTTTTAATTCACTTTCATTAACATTCTATTTTTACTATTTTAGCCCTGTCCGACTCCCATAGAAACAAAATTCTTTTATTTTCTTAATAATTTCAGATCGTTCGCATAATAAAATATTTTCCAATTAAATTTAAAAATCTTTTATACATTTAAATCACAAATTTTTCAAGTAATTACTATTCAAAATATCATTTACCCCTAATTTTTCTTACCATCAAACAGGGACTATACCTTTGCCTTGTCTACACTTGATTCCTTACTATGTCACGGCACGATGCTTTGTAACTTTATGAAAGGGTTAGACTTTGATTAATGGTGTGGAGATGGAGAATCACCTTTGTTTCTATTCACAACACTCATAAATATAGACTTGTATTCAATCGTGTCACAGAGCAACCCACTTACATGCACGTACAAGTTATGTTGAACATATCAGTAAAATTTAATTTTCTTTAATAAAATTAGTAATGAAATTATTTTCAAAATTGTCAATGTTTCGATTTAATAGTTTATTTCAATTTTTTTATTTACTTTAGTAATAATGTGTCAATATTTCAAAAATTTGATGTAGATTTTTCACCATAATTAAAAAAATGAGCGAGCTAAAATCTTCTATTCTCTGATGACAAAAGAGTCTAGATTTTCGTTAAATCCTAAGATTCATGCCTTCTTTCAAATTTCTAGACGCTGGCTGAAGTTAAGAAGTAAGACCCAAATTTACGAAACTAGATATGCAAGAATCATGTGACGAACTAAAAAAATTTGAAAAACTTTCATTATTAAAGAAGAATTATGCAATAAAATAAAAGATTTATGATCAACTTGCTTCATTTCAAAATTTGGGGCCAAATTAAAACGGGAACGATATGTTAGAGACCAATGTTGAAATTTTCAGCATTTTTACTTTTCACGCATACACCATATAGTCATGGCAATGGGCCGAACTGAGCTGGCTCGAGCTCAGCTCGGCCCTTAAACCCATGAGCTCGGCTCGAGCTCGTGGCTCGTGAGAAACGGGCCACGAGATCACGAGCCGAGCTCGTGGCTCATTTGCTCGTGAGTGAGCTCGGCTTGGCCCACGAGCTCGTGAGCTTACGAGCCAAGCCGCAAGCCCAACAGCTTTTTTTTTTTTTTTTTTCAAGTTTTTTTTTCAAATTTTTCTTTAAATTTTCACGAGCTCACTTGTGGCTCGGCTCGGGCTTGGGCTCGTCATTTGACGAGTCCGAGCGGCTCACGGCTCGTCGAATTTGTTCTTGTTATTCTTTTGGTTTCTTAACATTTTTTCACGGCATATGTAATAATTCCACAAAATATGCTAAACATTTCAAGAGCACAACTACGAAATGTAAGGGCTGGGAAGTAATACTTCGTCTTCAATACTTCTTCCCAATATATATATATATTGTCATGGTCGGACCTCAAGCGAGGCATGTGAGTCCATTCAGTGGCAGACTAAGACATTTTAAATTAGAGGCATAATCAAACTTGTAAAAAAATTGTGAAGAATTTCATATTAAAAAATTTACATCTAAAAAAAACCATACCTCATATAAATTTACATCCAAATTTTACATTGAGTATAACTTTTTCGAATGTAAAATTTCGAAAACTTTTGATGTCATACCCATTGTAAAATTTTCTAATAAAATTATGTAAATTGTATTAAGAAATTTATCGAGCAAAAATAACAAATATTAATAAAATAATTTAAATTTTTTAAAGCGAGGACGAGTTAGACGCCTCTTTTTAAAATGTATGTTTGACGCACTTTTAACTATTTTTATGCCCGTTTGGATTATTCGATATATTTATGATATAGTTTACGAAATGAGCTTCGAGATAATATAGACGATTTGTGGATTCTGTTAGTGTCGGAGAATTTTTAAAGTTAACATGTTATCGAAAATTAGGTTGTGAGCACTTCGAAATGCTATTAAGAATATGCAATATTTCAATTTCATTTTGCATCCTGCAATGACTTCAAAAATTGAGACAAAAACATAATTTAAAAAAAAAAAAATTGCCCAAAAATTGGCGGTTGCGTGACCCATGCCATCCCTCGTGTCCACCCTCAGTCCATTGCCACACACTCAAACTCAAATGGGGCCACAAAAATTCTAAGGCTATATTTGGTTGTGCAAATTTTTTCATGAAAAATGGAAAATCAATTCCAACTTCTACTTTTGCAATGTTTGATAGCAATAATTTTCTTTGGAAATTGTTTTCTTTGTTTCCCTCACACGAACACAATTTCCATGGTTTTGTTGAAATGAATTCCCACCACTTTGGTGGGAAATTTTTTTTTAGGTTACCCTTTTTTTTGTAATTGAAAAAAAATTCTAGACACATTGGTAAAAAAATTTATCACTTTTATTGACAATTTCCATACAAAACAAAGTCAAACGAATGATTTTCGGTATGGTTAAATTTTTTTAAAAAAATTTGCTATGGGAACAAATTCTAGACCAAATAGTAAAAAAATTATCACTTTAATGGACAATTTTCATGAAAAACGAAGTCAAATGGATACCAAACTTTTAATATTTTTTAGGTGGAAAATTATATCAATCAAACACAATTAATTACAATTCTCAATAAAACATATTTTAGGCAATTCAATTCCCTGTAATTCATTTTCTTTCCATCCAAATTTCACATTTGCGATCAAACAGATCCTAAGTTTCTTTTGCTGTTTCGAAGTTCAAAAAAGTCCATTTTGAGGCACTCCAATGTAAACCCACTTCCATGACCTGCCCAACCCAATCCACCCAAGTCTGTCCATAACGCATTATCCGCCACCTAAACGTTCAATTGAGAGTTTGGTTAAGAATTTCATAGTTGCAATCTCAAATTCCCAATGGGCAAAGAGAAGCTCCAGCTCCAAGCCTGCTACCGGATTTCGACGATATCGTGAATGATGAAAACAAGGTACATAATGTTTTTGTTTGCTACTTTTGAAATTCTTTTGAGTGAATAAAGAAAGTTTATGTGAATTTGTCGATTTGAATTGGACAATATGTTTAGGCTCTAAACTAAAATGAGAAATGATTAATGTAGGATGCTGTTATTTTGTTGTTCGTAGTCTATGGTATATAACTTTAGGACATAATTTGGTCATTCCTGAATTCATGTTCTTGCTATAGGCAAAACATCACCACACTTTGAAATATCCACTGTTAGGCTTTCTTCCTTTCAACATTTCTTAAGGCGAAATTTTGTTTACTTTGAATATCCTGGGGACATAATATTGATGAATAAATCCATATTATTCACAAAATATGTTAAAATTACTAGAAAATTATTGACCACCACTATTACTTCTAACTGTTTTAATCTCTCATCCTAAATGATTATCAACCTCATTTTTGTATAAGAACAATTATCGATAAAGTAATGAAATATCTATATTCCTCCTCTTATTAACATATCATTCAATTCACATATATCGAAATTAAAAAAAATAATAATAATAAAGCAATTGAGATGTTGCATTTATACTGTGAAATTTTTTCTTAATCATTTTAGATTCAATATAAGTTTTACACTCTAAGAACTTTTGTTGAATCATATAAAATTAATTTACACTTTTTCATAGCATTAATACTTATATGTTCTAATTTATCATGACATAAAGTAAAATATCAAGCATATAAAAATATTTAACTTTATTATTATTCTCATTTTCAATATTATAAAATTTCATCATTCCATCACAAGAATAACATTTTCCAACAAATACACAACTAGATAATACTAGCTTCTTGAATTAACACATAATTTTGATTCTCGAATTGCCCAACAGATCCTCACTTGCTAAGCTCCTATTCATTTTCGAAACATAAAATACATTTCCTAAGGTAATTTCCTTTGTGAATATATCGACCCGAGTCTCGTGTCCGATTGTTCTCTTACATACTGTCTAGTTTGAGAGAGTTTAAGGGTACGTTTGATTGTAAGAGTGAAAAATTAGTGGAAAGACAATGATTTTTAAGGAAAATAATTGCCTAGAAAATATTTTGCAGGGAATTGTTAATTAAGTGTGTTTGATTGGTATAATTTTCCACCCGAATTTTTTTTGAAATTTTGGATTTTTTTTTTATGTTCACGTTTGGCTTTATTTTACATAGAAATTATCCATTAAAAT